TGAGCTTGGCGACCACTCTTCTGGCCCGCACAGCCAGCAGAACATAGGCACTGGAGCAGATGGCATAGGTCAAAGCCTTGCTCTGTCACTGATTAGCTGTGTGACCCAGGAGAGTCGTGTTGCCTCCATGAGCTTCAGTGTTCTCATGTGTAAAAAGGAAAGAGCAGTATCTATTTCACTGGGCACGTCAACGATCCAGTGAGTGAATCCATGGGAAAAGCCCTCTGCCTGGCACACAGTGCACACGGCCTGGAGCCCTGGAGCCCTTATGGCTAAGGTCAGGGTGGGTGAACCACGCCAGGGTATCAGGAAGGAAGCTAGGAAGCTCCTCAAGGAGCCGGTTGCCTTGTGGACACACAGTGGGTTGGCTGTCCTTGGCTTTGAGACCAATGTGTTAATGGATGAGCAAATGCAAACATAACAGAACCCTGAACAAAGGGCAGTGATAACTGGGGCCGAGATCGCAGAGCTCCCCAGTGTGCCGTGGTGTGTAGTTGTCCCCTCCCACTTTGAGGAATCACCAGGACCTGTCAACCTGACCTGCTAAATCCCTCTTGAATCCCTTCCTTCCTCCACTCACTAGCACCTCCCCAAATCAAAGCCCATCAATCTTACCTGAACAATCAGAAGAACCTCCTGCCTGCCCTTCCTGCCTCAGATCTTGTCCTCCACGGGGCCACCAAAGTCAGCTTCTAGTCACACAGTCAGGTCATCTCACACCTCTGCATCCAAAACTCCAGGATAAAATACCAGTTCCTCAAGCTTGGCTGACAAGTCCTCCTCCATCTGGTCTCCACCCCTTTCCACTTCACGCGTGACACGTCCTTCAGAAGCGCCATTCTCCAGGACCCACTACTTCTTTGCACTGACAAACCGCTTTCCTCCACCCCTGCCCTATTTCCTACCCAGTAGAAGTCTACCTGTCGTCCTAGAATCTCCAAAGCTTTCCCAGCTTCTCTTGGCCACATTTGTGGCTCCTTCCCCCAGGGCCCTACAGAACTCTATCTTTTCTGTCTGTTGGTGCACATGGCTCGGCCAAGTTTTGGTTGTCGAGTCCAACAAGTCCCACACTAGCTGGTGAACAGAAGATGGCAGAGGAGACAGCTCTGTGAGCCGAGCCAAAGCACCATCCAGCTTCTCTGAATCGAGCATTCATGAACACAAATTCTGAATTTGCCCAGGCCAAGGCGAGAAACAGGCTCAATGGGGCCTGAGGTGAACTGGGGAGCTTCATGCCCACCCACAGGAGGGCAGCACTCTTCAGTTTTAGCTGATGGGTACATTGTTGGGAGATCTTGATTTTTCAAAAAAGTGAATCAGAGAAAGACAAATATCACATGATCTCACTTATTTGAACAAAACAAGTTGATGAACAAAATAGACCCAGGGACATAGAAGTAGGGTATAGACTGACAAACCTCAGAAGAGGGGGCGGGGGGAGGGAAGAGATAAACCACAGAACTTATATGCATGTATGCGTAACCATGGACACGGACAACAAAGCTGGGGGTGGGCAGGATGGGGAGGATTCTGTCAATGGGGGAAAAAGGAGAAACATCTGTAACAAAAATAAATTAATAAAAATATATATATATTGAAAAAAAGTGAACTAGCAACTAACTTAAATTGTGTTTTGTTTTTTAAAACTATGCAGGGCAACGACGACAAAAAACTGGCTTTCTGGCCACACTTGGTCTTTCGGCCTATCATTTTGCAAACTCAGAACCTGCTATTTGTTTGTGGAATGAATGAATGGATAGATGAATAAATGATCTTTTTTTTTCTGGATTCAAGTTTTCTACAGCAACTCTAAATTTCAAAGTTTGGGGAGAGTTTATGCCTAATCAGTTTGATTGCTATTTAGTTTGCTTTTTTTGGTGTAAGGACATGAAAATCAAAATCAAAAGTCAAGTTTGTACATTTCTCTCTTACAAAACAAAGCCCAATCTCTTTTACTCGGCAACTGTAACAATCCCATTTCCTGGGCAGCCTGCAGGCCTTGTGCGCAGGGCTCTAACCTCAATTGTGGTAATATCTCCATTTGAGATGTGGGTCGCTCCAGGAGGAAGGGAGGGATGCAGAGGCCACAGAGCCTGTTCCTGCAGTGGATGGTTTGCTTAGTTTGGTAACCTTTTGAAAACAAACTGCAGAGGGTGGCAACAGTTCAGCTCTCTTCAACGACCCCCATCCCACCAACCCCCCCGCCCCCCATCCCACCCAGCTTAGCCTCTAATGAGCTTGGAGGAGATACTGAGGATTCTCAATTACAGGCATCAAGGCCTCAACTGCCTCTTAGGCCCTGGCTCCCTGTGGCCAGGACTCCTGTGACTGGCTGTGGGCTGCTGGCTGGGATCTGCTCAGAGTCCTGCAGGGCGCTAGCCAGTTGCACCTCTTGCAGGGCTGGACAGCAGACCCGGAGCTGCCCCACTGCCCATTCAGGACCAAGGCACTCTTTCCCCCAGCTGCCAGGTATGTTGCTGATGGCTCGCGGCTGAGTCCCTCTCCGAGGTAATGCCCGTTCCCTGGGGGGCAGCCTGCATCCAAAGACTAGTCAATAGATAGGGGAGCCACAGTGACGAGGGGACAAAGACCCAGCCACCTGGCCTCAGTTGGGACCATCTGAAGGACCATCCCAGCTCAGAGTTCCCTGTGGGATTGGTTGAGGTCTCCAGTGCGACTCTATTGCCGTTCAGCTCCTGCCTTTGACCAATCCTGCTTCCCTTACTCCATCGCAGGTGCTTTTCTGGAAGGCAGCCCCCAACAAACCTGCGTTCATACCTCTGCCTTAGATCTGTTTCCTGGAGGAGCCAGGCTCTGGCAGCCTCTTTCCTCGGCCTCTTTCCTCTCACTCCCCTTTCTTCCTTGACGACTGCAATTACCCTGAATGCTTCCATGACCGCCGCAGGGAACGACCCCAACTCTTTCCTGTTGCCATCGCCACTCTCCCTGTCTGCTCCGTTGCATTTCCAAGAGCAGGGCGGACAACTTCACCTGGATGCCCATTTTTTAAGTCCCAAATTTAATATATTTAAAACAGAACCTTCTCCCACTCCCCTAACCAGCCTTTCCCCCTGACTTCTCTATTTCTATTAATGCCACCACCATCTCTGTAATTCCAGTCTGCAAAGCTCAGCATCATCTTCATCAGCCCCTGCTCAGCAACCTTCAGCATCTTCAGTACCTAGAGCACAATCCATGCTGTTTGTCCTTGCATTGCAGGCCTTCCCCATCGACTCCAATCAACCCGACTTCCTGCCAACTCTCTGATCCAGGAGTTCTTAACGTATTTATGGCTTGGACCCCTTTGGCAGTCTAATGACACCTATGGGCCCCTTCTTGGAATGTTTCTCTAAGCATAAAATAAGATACACAGGATTGCAAAGGAAGTCCATTATATTTAAAGACAGTTATTAATATATGTTTTAAATTTTATGATAGAGCAACATATGTTTAAGTATTAGCACATTAAGTACCAAGATCTATTGGTGGGTCAAATAGCTCCCATATTTTTGAAGGAACCATGAGTGGAAAAGTGTTTCAAGGTATCTGCAACAAGAGTAAGGAGGTGTCAAAACCCCGTGGTTCTTATGGGAGGCAAGGTTAGAGACCACTAACACTACTGTGCTGTACTGCCTGCATTCGTAACGGAAGAACAGGCAAAATTTCAGCTAGAGGTTAGTGAAGATAAAGCTGTGATTTTTTTTCCATCCAACTACAGGTCAAGCACAGCTGCAGCCGCCCCTGCGAGCCTGGCCGATGCTGGGAAACGGGCGTGGGCGCTGGGCCAAGCTGGCCCTCTTCTCCACGTGGGCTCCCTGGCACAGGCTGCCCAGGGCTCAGGGCCCTAAGCAGAGTGGCTCACTGCCTGCCAGAGGCACCAGCTCCACTTGGGCAGCTTCTAGGGGATTTGTTCTGTGGCTTCCCTCCCCTCAGGCCTAGGCTCTGTCTGTGGGACTTTACGTTTCCTCTGGCCCAGCCAAGGTTACCTCGGACTCATGAAGGCACCAGGCTCATGGGTTGGTTCATAGCCATCAGGCCAAAACAGAGTTATGAAGAGTCTGGTTGAAGAAGTCACCTCCAAAATGCCATCCAGAACTGTGAAGAGGCCACCACTGTGCTCAGGCCCTTCTCCTGAGCTTTGGCAGCTGAGACCAGTCCGGCTCTCAGGCTTACAGGGCGCCCCCTGCCCTTATCTTGCCGCCAGATGCTAAATGTCCTGCAATGCAAGGAACAGTCCTGTACAATAAAGAATGAGCCTACCCCAAATGACAGTCAGGCCCTCACTGGGAAGCACCGAGTAGGCCCTCAATAAACAAACGTCTGCCTGATGCCCCAGTGGTCCTCGCCAGCCCGAGGAGTCAGCATTTGAGGCACGGCCCGCCGATGGACATTTCTCTTGCCTCCTCCCATTCCCCTCTGGCCTGAGACCCCAGTGACCTTTACGGCTACAGTTGGGATTGGGTAGCAGATATATAAGAAGGTGAGGTCCCCACTCCCACCCCTGCAGGAGCTGGTGCCCTGCCCCTCCTCACAGTGGGGTAACTGGGAGGAAGTGCTCCCACCCAGGCTGCCAGGGAAGAAATTCCTTCCTTCTGCACCTCAGTCCACTCTGAGCCCTTGGCCCAGCCCAAGCCACGGAGTTGGTACTTGTGGCTGGCCAGTGGGGGGAAGGGTAGGCTGGGGTAGGGCTGGTTTGGAAATCAGGCTAGCAGTGGGCATGGGGCCACCGCCTTTGCCCAGGGACAGCATGCTGCTCTGTGGGGGATAATCACAATTCTCAGCTTCCTGCCTACCCTGGGGGAGCCCTCAAGCCTGCTGTGGAGTCCAAATGCTTCCCAAACCTGGCCTGGCTCAGGCCAGGCCAAAGCTTGCTTCCCAGTCCCTAGTGCTCTCCAGCTGACCACCTACCTGCCTTCCCTGGCACTTCCAGCACCCATTCAGGTACCAGCCCCACCCTCCAACCCCCATGCGAATCCCCTTGCGGCTGTGCCCCAGCTCACCGTTCCAGGCTATCGGCTGAGCCGCCATGGCCGTCACCACTGCCTCCAGGGACCACAGCCGCTCTGGGGCCACTGGGCTAAGATCTCACCGTTGAGTAAGCCTCGATGTGGGTTCCTCCCACCACACCCTCCCCAGGGCTTTCCCCAGAGCCCGTTGCCACACCGCTGTGTTGTTTAAAAAAGGAAACTGGGGGCAATGGGTCTTGAATACAATGAGAAGTGCAACGACAGACTGTGAACAGAGGCACCTATGGAGGCAAAGAAAGGGGAACCTGTGGCAGGACCCTGAGCACTCAGAATTCTTTCCTTGTTTCTGTGGCCAGCAAAGCTAGAGCCCATGAGGCAGAGAGGAGTAGGGTCTTTTGTAACCTGGGTCAGCTGTCCTGCCCTGCACTGGGCCAGCACGCACAGCTTATGGGGGTCCACACTCCAAGGACCCGAGAGGCCCCAGGAGCTGCCCAGATTGTTGAAGTTGAGGTTTTTTGTCCTCAGCTTCTGCCCTTGCAAACCATTCCTGCCCACTACAGAGACACGCAGCTCAGGTGACTGTCCAATCTGGTAGCTACCAGTCACTCGGGACTTGTGAGCAACTTGCAACTGGCGAGCCTGAAGTGAAATGTGCTGTGAGTGTAAGATGCACTCCAAATTTTAAAGACTTAATATGAAACAAAATGTTAAATGTCTTAATAATTTTTAATATTGATTTTATGTCAAAATATTTTATATATTGGATTAAATACAATTTATTAATAAAATTAATCCCATCTCTTTGTTTATACTTTTTACACGTGGCTACTGGAAATGGGGGATACTGGTGTACAAACTGGCAAATCAGTGAATGAAATGACATTGTCTAAAACAAACTCATGTGTAGAAGGTCATTTAGAGTATAATAAAGATGGCATTTCAAAGCAGCAGATAGAGTGGAAGGGAAGGAGGGAGAGAGAAAGAGGGAGAAACATCGGTGTGAGAGAGACACATCCATTTGTTGCCTCCTGCACGACCCTGACCGGGGCTGGGAACTGAACTGCAACCGAGGCACGTGCCCTTGGCTGGGATTGAACCCAAGACTCTTTGGTCCACCGGCCGACACTCTAACAGCTGAGCCAAACCAGCCAGGGCCATTTGTGTTTTTTTAAAAAATTGATCCTAGGGAGAGGAAGTGGGAGAGGGAGACAGAAACATTGACTGGCTGAGTCCCCCACACATCCTAACTGGGGATGGAACCCAAAACCAGGTATGTGCCCTGACTGGGAATCCAACCGGACACCTCCGGGTGCATGGGACGCTCCAACTGAGCCACACCTGCCAGAGCAGTGCTATTTGCAGTTTTAACAATAGTAAAATTACTGCCTACATTTATATTTTACATATGGGAATATAATTTGTTATAATAGTTTATATAATAGTATAAAATATTAATATTTTTCAATAACAATTCAGTTTCTATTATTATTATTTTATTTATTATTTTTTTAATCCTCACCCGAGGATATTTTCCATTCATCTTCACACAGAGTAGGAGGGAGGGAAAGAGAGAGAGTAAAACATCGATGTGAGAGGGACAGATTGGCTGCCTCCCGCACCAACCCCAACCAGGGCCGGGGACAAACCTCAACTGAGATACATGCCCTTCACCGTAATCAAACCCACTACTCTTTGGTCCACGGGCCGACAATCTAACCGCCGAGCCAAACCGGCCAGGGCCTATTATTCTTTTCATATCTTTATTTCTACTTGGCAGACACCCCTTTCACCTTCCTGTTTCTGATTTCTCCCTTTCTGTCCTCTTCTTTCCTCATCTTCTCTTTCACCTTCAAAAGCCTCAAGGATGTGAGAATGGGAGTCACTCCACTTGTGTTGGCTCCTTGCTCAGCTTGAACCTGAGCATTGGCATCTGCTGCTATCTCTGTCTTACCATAGAAGAGGAAGGCACTTGCTGGATTCATGCTCAAGTACAGATACCATGAGCTAAGATGGCCACGTCCACCCTATTCACCCTGGAGAGGAACACCTACCCAGTGGAAATACACCCTACCATTTCTCCCTCACAATCTGGCCACATTCATGTTAACACTCATATTAAGACAGCTTAGAAAGAGAAAAATAACCACTTAGGAAAATGTGTGTGTGTGATTTTCTTTTTCTTTCCTATTTCAGGAATGGGTGCAGGCAGGGTAAAAGTGGTGGGCTTTGAAGCAAAGGCTTTCCAGTTTGGGAAACCAATTTAATTTGCCATCTGCAGTTAAAAAATCACTAAGAGGGTCAAGTGTTTTGAAAAGATAACTATACAAATCGGAGAAAGGAAAAAAGCTCTCTAGCTTCTGGGAAACAGGTACAACAAAAGATTTGTTTGCTCCAAGGCAGATGGGAACCTCCGTCCTTAGAGTTTAATTGAGAGAGGAAAAAAGACAAGAGTCTCAGCCAATTGTCAAGCAGATAATAGCTTCTGAAGGGTGGGCCTGCAAGGACTGAGAAATGAAAGCCGTCTTGAATTGTGTGGGGAACAAGTGGTGTGGGAAAAGACCAAATTTTCTTTTAACAATCATTCTCAATGCAAATGAAGTAAAATTTTGCTTCAGTAAAGAAAGACCTTGAATGTCATTGGAACTTTTTTTGTTTTTCATGGGGAGACCTGCCCCCCCCCCCCAAATAAAGCTCTGGCATCGAAGTAAGTAGCAAAAACACCAGACTGGGAGTCAGGACACAGTTCTGGTCTTGATTTTACAAAATATGGCGGCAAATAATTGGTGTGAGATTCCTTTGAAAACTGTGGCTAAACATTGTTATGGGACTCAACCTTGTCTTTTGGACCTTTCTATCTCCCCCTGCCCGCTGAGCCCCTCTTGTCTTCCAGCACCTCAGAACAAAACATAGTAAGCCACAGCTATACTGATCCCTGAGACCACATAGATCGAAGAATTTTCTCAACATCCTAAGTTAATGAAAACTAAGCCAGAATGCCATATATTTGGCTTTATTATTTACACAAAACCCAAAATTTAAATACTAGGGTCTTATTTAAAAGTAAGTCTACTGAACTGATTTGTAGAATCAAGGACTGGCACCGCCCTGCTCACCAGAGGGAGAAGAGGAGAAACAGAATCCCTCAGCAGCCTGTCTTTGTGGCCCGAGTGACCCATGTGCTGGGAACACAGTTAGCTAAGATACCTCCTTGCCTCTTCCTCACTCCCAAACATCACTCCATCATCAAATTCCATTGCTTCTACCTCCAAAATAGATCCAGAATCAGACCATTTCTCCCTGGCACTGCCACCACCCTAGTCCAAGCTATCATCGCTGGCAGAACCTGCCAAGTGGCTTCCCCTCCCCTCTCCTGTCTTCTCACCCTACACAGGAGCCTGAGTCAGCTTTTAAAAGGAGCGACTCTACCCTGTCTCTCCCCAGCATGGACCTCAGATGTCTGCCAATCCCCTGGGCTAAAGCACCATGCTGGCTGGGACCTTGTCTGTTTTGCTCACCTCTGTAGTCCTAGGACTGGCCTCATGCCAGTCATGTAGTGCATACTTATCTGTTGAATGAAGGAATGCATTTTAACAACTAATATTTGTGCAAGCTTTAAAGGTAAACATCTTTTTTGATGGTCCAAATAACCCTGTGTCGTTGGTATTATTGTTCTCCTTTTACAGGTGAGAAAATTGAGGGTCCGAGCATTGCCGAAGTTGACAGAGTTGGTGCACAGCATATTGAAACTCAGGTCTGTAGGGTCAAAATCTATGCCTTTCTGGCTACACACCCCTGGAGAGCAATCTCGCCCTGTGGCGGGCACCCCGTGTGGGAATTCCCTGCTAACCAGTGAGAGCAGAGTGAATTCTAAATCCGCCTTTCCTGGATGACTTAGACAGCCACTATAACTGCAGTGACCTTATTTTCTGAATCTCTAATCAGGATTCTTGGTGTGACAAATAGAACCAAACACTTGCAACTGGGACTTCTCTGGAAAATCCAGGGCACAGAGTTGCTGTACTCGTATTTCATGGCAGCTACATAATGGGCATTTCCCAGCGAATTCTGATCCAGCCACTCAGTCCATCACAATCTCAAGAAGATTCTCTTTAAAAAATTGTTTTTGGGGCCTTATGTTTTTATACACCAAATTCTTCTCACCCACTATTTATGTTTGTTTAATTACTTCCCTACTCTCTTTTATCTTTTCTGTTAACCAATTTCTCCCTGGTCTGCCTCAAAGAGATTCTAGGTCCTGCTTGCTGATGGGTGCCATGGATGGTGGAAAGAAACAGTAAGCAAAAGTGCTTGGGGACCATGGCAACAGAGGCCGTGGCAACGGGACCAAACACTGAGGACAGCCCTTCCTACCACTCCTAGAGTCAGTTTTAGAGCAAGTGCTGCTGATAAGGCCTGCTGGCCCCATTGTGTCACTAAGCAGGGCAATGCTGCTTGCAGGACCCATCGTGGTAAAATTTCAGTTCCAGCACCCGTGTCGCAATGGCAGGCTTACGGTAAAGGTTGTTGCAGAATCCAGGGCTGGATCTACTATTTGCTCCAAGCACTGATCACACTCCACTGGAGTATACCCAGAACCCCTAGGTGGGCAGGCAGGGTCCAGAATTAGAGTGACAACAGCAAAAATGTCATGGTCATCTTCTTGGGCCTGGAAGCCAAGTATCATGATGTAACTGACCCAAGCAACTGACCCAAGCAATTCACTCCAACAATTTATACTGGAGTCTGACAGACAAGGAGATTCTCAATGAACTGGAGTGTGGGGTCTCTTCCCATGGACGTTATCAGTCTCTCTGATGTACTGGGTGCTTCTAAAGCACAGGATGGGCTCTAGGCCCTCAGTTTCCTCATCTGCACAAAAAGAAGCAGCAGGAATGTGTGCCCTGATTTCCTTTTCTTCTTTTTAGATGATGAACTATTTTAAGCATACAGAAAAGAGCTAGAAAAAAAACAATTTCCCCAAGAACCTTTTTCTGGAAGAAATAAGGTTTTATAGGTTCAATTGAAGCCCCTTGTGTACCTACCCAGTCCCAAACCCCTCCCCTGCAGAGGCAGCCAT